CAAAAAAGGGTGGGGTGCAGGGGAAGGGGAGGGTGGAGGGAGGGGGGATGGCCATCGGATGGCGAGAATGAGGGGGGAGTAATCCATAGAGGTGAGGCAAGGTGAGGGGAGAAGTGGGAGTGAAAGATGGAGAGGATTGGGAACATGGAGATTGCGATGTATAGTGTGTATGTAAGCATGCACCAGATACTCGAACCATGGGCGCGCTTCGCGCGCGCTTAGATGCTCCCCCATCCTCTTTCTCCTGACAATCCTCCACCCGTCTCCTCTCAACTCCCCTCAAAATACTCCCTCCCCTCCCCTTTTACTCGCTTGGGCTGCCTTGTCCCGTCATGATGCTCTCTCTTTCTCTTTCTTTCTTGGGCCCGTCTGGTGCAAGATTGATGCCCGCTCACTTTATAACGCGTTCAATAACAGACCTGGACACATACTTTCTTGCAGCGCTGAGGAAGCAAACGGTATGAGCGCGCAGTGCTGCTGGAGTGTGCTTCGCGCGTCAGGGGCCTCTCTTGGAGGGCGCCCTAGGGAGTCAGCTGGGACCTCGTGGGAAACTCATGGGGTGCATTGGGGTCCTGCTTGGGACTCCCTGGGCTTGGGATGCAGGCGGGGAACTCGTGGGCCGCCGGCCGCCTCGTGCCCCTCCAGGAACTGTTCGGGGCTGTGCTGGGGCCCTCTGGGGCCATCCGAGGCGTGTATTTTTCCGCGTCTGGCTACGCGCTCGCGCGGTACCGTAGCAAACCATGCAGACTGAGGTAAAACTTCAGGCGCTCGAGTGATCTGCAGGTATCCTGGCGGCACCACGGGCGGTTGCAACATTGGAGCGCAGCTACTGCTGCCTAGCATGCTACCTTCCCATATTCTGCGAACTGATCAGGACTTCCTTTCGCAATTGGTCGTCCGAGCGCAAATAGCAGCGCACCTACACTGCTGGAGCACTCTGGACTGGCTTCCATCCATAGCAGAATGGCGTGATGCTGATCCTGTCTGAAAACCTATCTATGTGTATGTATGCGGATGGGACTATGGGACCTTCAAGAGAAAAGTGCGGCCAGAGAGGCACAACTCCGGAATGCTAATATTTGAGCTAAAGCGTCATTAGCCTCTGCTGGGTAACATCGCATAGCGTTAACCTGGTTAGGGATGGGGCAGGGAAAAGGAATGAGAGGGGAAGCGAGAGAGGGAATGAGAGGAAAAGAAAGGCGAAGCGAAGGCGACAGGGAATGAGAACGAATGAGAGGGAAAAGGGGCGGGGAAGCGTGTGAATCCCTTTCCTGGGTCTCACTCTCGCCTGGGCTGCCCTGGCACAGGGGCGAGACTACGTGCTGCCTGAACTGAGCCCTCGGCTGTGGAACTTCGTATCGGACGTCTGCAATTCCGGGAGCGGCTAATAGGGGGGTGTCCAAGAGGGGGGGTGCAAATCATGACCGGCGGCATGTGCGCGGCCCAGCGGGGGGGACAGGGACGTAGTTCATGAACTAAGAAGAGGCGCCATGACATCTGGGGAAATATCATGGCCCCCGCCATGATATCCACCCCCCCTAATCATCACCCCCCTCTTTGCCGCCCACGACAATTCCAGTCCTCACACCCCGGGCCTGAATCCGCTGGGATTTCGCAGGAAGTCTAAACCCTGGCCCTCCGCCCCGTGGCCATGCCGACCTGTGCATCTTGTTTCCCGCGCAGAGCCTCAGCGCGCGGGCAACCTGACGAGGACTGGGCGACGAGGAGAGGAAAGCGATGAAGTCAGAGGAGCCGTTGTCCCGACCACGCAGGGGATCCACAGCGACCGCCCGCACGCTCCTGCACGCTGGGGGTGAAGCCTCGCGGCATCCGCCTGGCAAAACGCGCACTGCGAAGAACCACGCACGCGTGAGGGAGGACCAGGTTGGAGGCGTCGTCACGTCTGAGTGGTCGTCGTCTCCCACCGACCCTCCGACAACAAGTCCTACTAGACCCAAACCTTTCACGTACATGTTCAACTATTCCATGCCGATGGGACGAAAACCACGGTCAGACATATAGGGTTACACCAACTAAGAATGGAAGCCTGACGCGTTCGGAAAGGCCACATCGGCATCTCCCCCGAGAGCCCGTGTAAATTGAGGTGGGAGGGTGGCTGCAGGAGAGGCGAGGTGCGCGCTATGTTACCCTAGAGGTCCCCAAGGCGGTCCAACAGGGCTCCGAGAGGGGAACACAACCTAACATAGCGAGCCCTCTGCCCCGAGATGGCCCCCGAGGCCGCCAATAGGCCCGCAATGGGGCTCCACAATATGCCCCCGGGAAGCCTCGAGAGGACCCGCAAAGGCCCCAAAGAGCCCTCCGAGAGGCTCCCGAGAAGCACCCCAAGGGACCCATACAATGCATTCAAGGAGCCTCTGGTTCAACACCCAGGGGCCGATGCCCACTGGATCCGCCGCCCCCGGTTGCTCGCAAGAGGGGTGCCTGGCGTGCTGGATGAGTTCGGTTTTGGTTTTGGTTCTTTTCCAAAAGAGCTGCCCCT